AAACTTTCTCATGACGTGCTTGAAGCTAATTTTTCGCCGGCCATTTGGCCCTGTGACGAAAACGAACACGCCTGAACGCGTTTTGTTTGTCTCGGGAGGAGGAGGAGGAGGTATCGACTGCGGCGGCCGTCATTTGAAAGGAGACCAACAGCGAATGAATACAATCTCTGCATCACCACCGCCTGCTTGTCGTGTGCCAAACGTTTGCCGTCCAGGCAGCCGTTGTCTCCGGCGATGGATCGCACGCAGGTGGTGCAAGTGCTCTCCTCGCACCTTCAACTTCCGAAAGTAGTCGACCTTTGCGCTCCCTGCTGTCCGCATCACCGCCACCGTCTCTCTTTGAGCTTATTGGCGTTTGTTTGTCGGTCGCCTCTGGTCGACCGCCCGGGGACGGAAAAACCGAAGTCGCAACAAACAGGTGGGCGACCTGGCATCAAGTCGACTTCGCGTTTTTTGACGTAGTTTTTTTCCTCATCGAACGCGATTTTCCGGTTCTTTCGGTGCACGAACACTGAGGAGCGAATCTGGAACGCGCGTCTTGGAGCGTTTTTCTTAAACGAATGACTGACTAGTGAGTTTTGTTTCGATTTCAGTTTCAGCCGAGGCTGAGGACGTGCCTGCGTTTTCTGGTTAGAGTTGAGCCGACAAGACTACGTTTGATCTTTGACCAGTCGGCCATTGCCGCTCTCGGCAACCGTTCAACTCTGCCTGTAGCTCGGTTCCTCGTGCAAAGCCGCTGCTCCGTCCGTTTTGATCCATTGTACAGATTCTTTCGGATTTTCTTTGTTATGCGATCCTTTCTTCGGAACACCAGTTTCAGCCAATAACCACTTTTGCGTATCTGCCGAAAGATCTGTCTGTACTTGTTATCACTGTTCAGCATGTCGAAATATCGCCAATGTACGATTACAAATAAGCGTCATGCACAAACCATCAACTTTATGATCTGTACTAGCTTTTTTAATAATACCCTTTACTTAATCAATTATCCGGTATCCGACTTGTGCTCGTTATGGATGCGCTATAAACGCGTCGGCGATTCCGAAACATTTCCAGTTTTGCGATTTTTCCTTCACCGCTTACCAAGTAATTTGACCATCGCATCATTTCAGTGTGTTCTTTCACGACTGACTCGACGTTGATGGTCCAGCGCAATTCAGTTATCGACTTCCACCGTTTGTGTGTACGGTAACCTGCGTGACTGTTTCATCTTTTCTTGGATCCGTCTTTTCTTCTCTCTTAGAAGACACAGGGCACGTCTGTTAATCCATTCCGTTTTGGAACTTGGAGAGTGATAATGAAACTGACCTTATACGTTTTTCGTTCTATCGCTCCTCGCGTGATCATCACTTTGTTTTCCTCATGTTACGTCGCAGTCCATTCAGCGTCATAATTAATGGTAGGTTCGGACCGAACAGTTGTTTATTCACACCCATCCCCAACTGATTGCCGAGAACGTTGTTTTAATAGATTAAAGCTGGACCATGCGCTTTCCTTTTTCGGTTCATTTATCCGCCTAGTAGGTTCATGCAATCCACGTGACGGTGGAGATATGCACACATGG